GGGATGTGTTGGCAGTCCAATATCTTTGGTCAGTATTTACAGCTTTTTATTTTAGATTTATTTATTTTATTTTCTATGTTTGGGTGTTTCCCCAGCATGTATGTTCATACACCCTGTGTATGCCTGGTGCCTCTAAAGTTCAGAAGAGACTACTGGTTCCCCTGGAACTGGAGTTATAGATGTGGGTACTGGGAGTCAAACCTGGATTCACTGCAAGAGCAGCCAGTGATCCAACCACTGAGCTATCTCCCCAGCCCCTGCTGTCAGTATTGTTAATTTGAGCCTTCTGGCATGCATGAAGTAGTATTTCCTGATTTTGATTTGTATTTCTCCCCTGACAAACAAATGTTGAACATCTTTTAGTGTGCTTATCAACCATCTGTATATTGTCTTTTAGAAGTATCCCTTTACAAAGTAAGACCATGTAAAAAAAAATCGAGTTGTTTGACTCCCAGAATTGAAGAGTTCTTTGTGTACTGACAGAGTGCTTTAGCAGAGACTATATATGGTACTGTATAATGTTTCCTAAGTATTTTCTTCAAATAGAGAAGTAATTTTAAGTGAAGACAAATTTTTGAGTTTAGGTATGTCTAAAAGACCAAGTCTATTAAGATAAATCTAGCTTCCAGCTTTCAAAAATAAAATGTCTCCATGTCTCATGAATATAAAGCATATTTAAATGTGTAGTATAAGAAAGATGAGCCCTTTGATGTTCTTTTGCCTGTCATAAATCAAAACCTTTTTCACAAAGTTGAATGATTTGTTTGTGCCTCCAGCCACAACGGAGGAACAAGTGTGCTTGATAAATACACTGTATAAACAGCATGCAGGCCTTCCCTAGACAAACCCACAGAAGAGCTGCCAAAAGGAAACAGGAACACCTTTTAATTAACACACTACCCTTAGGTGAGTGTGTTAACATTCATGGAACTGGCCAGGAAGACAGTCTGCCAGTTGTAACAGCAAATCCAAGAAAGCAGCATAGTAGCTGTGGATGCCCTGATCAGCTTCGAGCCCAGAACCCAAAGCATATTGTGTTTGACACTATCATGAACGCATAGTCAGCGAGTAAACCATCGGTGGATGAAAGATGAAAAGAGTCGTCATGTATATATAACTCAGTATGTGATGGGATATGCTGAGAGTAGGAGTAGCTCCAATGCAGAGCATTGGAAATAAAGATAGGTATTGCCTGACTCCATGTAGGATAAGAAGAGGTTGAATTAGGACCCAAGGCAAGGCAAGACTTTAAGAATATCACAAGAGACGGCTCAGTGGTTAGAGATCTGGCTGCTCTTGCAGAGGATCCAGGTCTGATTCCAAGCACCCACATGGCAGCTCACAACCATCTATATAACTCCAGTACCAGGGAGACACACAGTAACATTTACTTGATCAGATTCAATGTGCAATGCCTGCTGAGCCTGAGGGTTGGTCTCAGGCTGACTGTTCCCTAGTGTGGATATCTGTTGGTGCTCAGTCAATATGAGACGGTAAATGGGAGAGATGGGTTTTGAAAACATAGATCAATCCTAATAACATCATGCTGAACAACAACAAGCCATGCTTTAAAAAATGCATACCTAGGGGCTGGAGAGATAGCTAAAAAGTTAAACACACCATTGCTCTTCAGAGGACCCGTGTTTGGTTTCTAACACCCATATGGTGGCTCACAACTGTAGTGACTCCAGTTCTAGGGGATCCAGTGTTCTCTTCGGGCCTCTGCAGGGATCATAAGAACGTGCTGCACATACACACATGTAGACACTCATATAGACATGTAATATTTTAGGATGCATACTGTAAGGGTCCAAGAATTGCTGAAGAAGACTCCAGACCCAAATAATATGTAAAAGCAAAGAGCATTTATTCCAGCATGCGGGGTCTACCATTTGTACAAAGTGATGACCCCAAAAGGAGCACACGCACCCCTTTTAAGATCAGATAGGGGAATTCTAGGAACAGTTAAGTCATCTCAAACATAATTGGTTAAGCAGGCTGTAGCTACATTAGCACAATTTTAATTGGCTGTGTTTATAGTTTTACCCTTTTGGGGCATACTTGGATAAGGAAGGATATGTTTGAGGGAGATTACAGGAACTGTCTTTTTTGCTCACTGCCTTGAGGTACTGTGGGGCTGGCTCAGACCTGGGACATGTTACCTCCCTCATCTCTGCCTACATGCTATCTCCCTCATTGTCCTCTTAGAAAACTGAAACTCTGGCCCAGTTGTAAAATGGGGAAAATTCAGACCTTTCAATACTATATAATTCCATTACTATGATTACCAAGAATAAGGAAAACTAATATATAAATGGTGAAAATGCCTCTGGAAGTTGATGCTGTGATTGGTAGATTCAGCAATAGGGAGCACAGGAGACACTTCCAATGTGAAGAAATATTCTTTATCTTTCTTACAGCAGCCAGAGCTCACTGAGTTGAAAATGCATGATCTATGCATACCAAAAAGTTATTGATCAGAAACGAGATTATTGTTAGGTGTTAGTGGCTCATGCCTCTAGACCGACCCAGTACTTGAGAGGTGGAGGCAGGCAGATCTCTGAGTTTGAGGGCAAGCCTGGTCTACAGAGTGAGTTCTAGGACAGCCAGAGCTACACAGAGAAACCCTGTCTTTACAGACCTAAAAACAAAAACAAACAACAACAACCACAAAAGAAATTATTATTCACTGAATTTCCTTGCTTTATAAACACCCTACCAATTTTCAGAGTCATCTCTTCCTTCATAAAATCAGATGTCCACCCAGAGACCTATAGCATTTCCAAAGCAGGAGAATAAATCTGCAGTAGAAGATTCAGTGTGCTCGGGAAACGAAATCTAACTGGTCAGTGGAGGAATTTCTACTAGAACACCATCTTTACTACAGATACTCTGTGATGTTCAAGAATTGGTGACAAAGATGTGGGAAATACTTAGATCTGTACCCCTGGGTCTATACCTGGGTAATTTATCTCCCTCTCATCAGCAAAATACAAGTTGATCCCCAGAGAAGCTAAGGTACTAGGCACAGCTGCAAGCGGGTACTCTGTTGGAAACAGGGCCTGCATGACAGTCTGTCTGCCTGCCTTCTGAGTATCAATTTCCCAAGGCCTTTTGTACTACTCTACAGGGCTCCAGAGAAGTAGACAAGATACTTCAGAGGGGTGTCAATTGTAAGAAATAACCAAAACTGAGAGACATCTGTCCAAGGGAATTAAGTTGATAGACCGTCTGACAGGGTTTAGATAACTGGAGATATTTGGAATAAACACAAGAACAAAGTAAGCAAACTGTATGCTAGGGACACAGAAAAGTAGAAAGTAAAAGGAAAATTATTCAAGTATGGGACATGTGGGAATAGAATTTTATGGTGGTAATAAAAATCAAGTATGGATTTATCAAAACTGTGTGATACTGTAACATAACTATATGTGGATCAGGCAAAGGATGGGGGATGGGGAACAGAGAGTGAAAGAAAAGAAATCTTCCGCTTCTAAAGAACAAATTCCATACAGAAGTAACCGAACCGGAAGGTATAGAAATGGTTTTGGAAATAAATGCCAAGTGAAAGAGTTACAAGAACTGCCCAGAGAGTGACACAAATACAAGAGTGATAAATGATAACTCTTAAGCCACATGGAGACTTTACAAAAAATCAACACAAAATAATAAAGATGTTGGCCAAGAGATTTCACGAAAGTAAGACTTAAGAATGAATGAAAATTTTGGGACACTGGGACACTGTAAGCAATGGTGACAGAGAAGATTGGGGGAGGATGGTCGCTTGCTTGGTTAATCAGAATTAGAACAGGCTCAGAGAGGACAACAGTTGAGAGAATTTGAGGCATAAATAGCAAAGACTGGATACCACAGTGGATGCTGTCATCACAAACAAGACTAAAGAGTTAGCTTTGAAAAATAAAAAGACCATTTTTCCCTTGGAAACAGCCATCCAGCAAGGTAAACAAACAAGGAGGAGATACAATTTATGACAAAGGAAAGGAATATTACAAGAATGCATGCCTGCTAGCTGTTTTGTTTTTCCTTCCCAGTCAGCAGTGGTGAAGTCATCAGATGCAGAAGTGAATCTTTGGTCTGGGTTTGAGAGCCACATGGCTGGGGGCGGTGGGGACAGACTAGAAGGAATTCTACTGGGTAGTAATTTTGAGAGTCCAGCTGAGGGTGAAAACCAAATGTATTTATTAGTTGGCATGTGTTGCCACTGCAGAATGCCAGGGATTGGGCAGCTTTACCTGGGTACTTACTTTTCGAAATTCAACTTCAAGGTCAAGAGCTTGGTTGTTAGTGACCTCCTTCCTGGAGAACGTCTCCATCTCCCCACTGCTGAAGTAGAAGAGGACAAACATGCAATCCCTGGCATCTTTTCTTAAGTGGACACTGATCCCAGGGGTCAGGGTTTCTCCTTTATGACCTCAGTTGGCTTCGGTTACATCTTTATTCCAAATTCCGTTACACCGGCACTATGGCTTCAATGTACAAGTTTTTGGGAAGACGCAGCATGAGTAATTCATCATTGTGGTGTGAATTGTTTTCCCAAGTGTACTCACAGCTGCAGAGCAGGAGGGAAAACAAAAACAAAAATGTGCCTGAGGGGATCTATAACAGAATGGACTTGACTAAAGTGGACAGTGGACAATGAATACGGACGGGGTGGTGAAAGTATAGTTAAAACTGTCCTTCTTTAAAAAGGAAGAGAGGCCAGAAAGGGCTGCCTGGTTTAGACCAGGAAAGGGTTGGAGATTGCAAGGCTCCCTGATGAGGAAATAAGCTAGAGAAAAAAAAAATGAAACTATCTTAAATCATTTTGTAACGCACTTTCTGGAGATTCTGCAAACAATGCCTTATATCATAACTGGTTGATTCTACACTTTCAGATTTACTAAAAGTAAAAAAAAAAAAAAATAATGGTTAGCAGCAGACTGGGGGAAAGGTGTGCGTCCATTATTAAATCATAGAATTTTCCTCTTTTTTTTTCTTAGACGACTTAATACATTGAACAAGTGCGCCTCAATGAGACTTGATGTGAACTTCCTAAGGAAAAAGGTGGGTGTACCTCCTGGAGACCATGACCTCACCAACAGAGCAGCCTGTATTCACAGGCTGGAAAAACGTGGGGCTGGACAGCTGGCCCGGTGGTTAAGAGCACTTGCTGCTCTTCCAGAGTGTGGAAGTTTGGTTCCCAGAACCCATGTGATTGCCAACCACTCCAAGTCCAAGGGATCTCATGCTCTTCTCTGGCCTCCATGGATGGACTAGGGACACACACACACACACACACACACACACACACACACACACACACACACACACCTAAAAAAAAAAAAGCATCAGACAAAGGCAAAATTCCCATGTGCCCACCCACCATCTGTCTCCTTTACAAATACCCCATTTTATTCCTACTATCATAAATAGGTCTGTTATAAGACCATACCGAAAGGTGCATTTGGCAATCACTGTTTTGGCTTGTTTCAGCGGTTTGTTTGGTTATTGTTGTTTTTGTTTGTTTGTGGGGTTTTTATTTTGTTGTTTTCTTTATCAAAGGGTTTGGATTAAAAAAAAAGTCAGTCCTTTGGCATCCCTTTCAGAAGGTTGACAGCTGTAACTGTCAACCCACGTGTGACTCCAGGTGCCACACAGTGATTAGTGGATGAAGAGATTCAGGGAAGGGCTGGTGGGCCCATCCTTACCAAGCAGCATCCAGCTGTTATAGTCACATTTTCTTTCAAGTATGTATCAGAGTTGCGTCTGTTCCACAGAAGATTCGTTTGGTGGTGGGAGTACAGGAGCTGGGGGACAGTGCAACTTCAGGCCACTGCATCTGGCTTGTCCTTCACCACCCTCCCCCAGGCAAACCCTAGTCACAAGGAATTTGTTTCCACTTTAACAACTACTAGATCACTGCTTCTCCCAGGATGTCCTGAAAAGTGTTCTCTTCATTTGCACAAGAGTGGAGATTTCAGTTTTGAAATGAAGCGGTAAAGCTAGGATGTAGCTCAGTGGTTGAGCACTTGTGTACAATATTCTGGGCCCAAGATTCAGTACAGAAGGGACAAGAGAAGGGAAAGATGAAGGAGGGGAGAGGAGAGATGAAGATGGAGGGAGGAACGAAAGATTGAGCATCCATTATGTATCTGAAATCAATGATAGCCCAAAATCCTTTTTTGTTTTGTTGTTGTTGCTGCTGCTGTTTTTTGTTTTTGTTTTTGGTTTTGGTTTTGGTTTTAAGTTTTTGGAGACAGTTTCATGAGACTAGCCTTGAACTTGCTGTGTACTCAAGGCTGGCCTTGGACTCCTGATCCTCCTGCCTCTGCTTCCCAAGTGCTAAGATGACAGATGTGAACCAATACTTATAAAATCTAAATTGTCTGAGTGCATTTACGATGGTCAAAAGTTTTGGATTTTAGAATAGTATGGATTTCATAGTTTCTGATTAAGGAATAAAGCCTATGAGGACATTCCAGAATCAAACACAAGCCAACTCTAACATGGCAAACACTTCTGGGCCTGAGCATTGTGGGTAAGGCAAACCCAGTTTGCTTCCCATTTATGAGTATCATCTAAGAGCACTGCTCATTACATTATCTCGTTCATGTAGAACTTCTCTGGGTTCTACGAAAGGAAATTAAGCCTGGCATGTGCTCAGAACCCCTGGGTGAATCCCACATCTTTCTTTTGACCTCTGGGGTGTTCTTAGGAGCAGCTGACTCCAAAACCAAGACTCCACCTCCCTCTGTTGCTCTGCCCCAATCTCACTGAATTGGTCCTCTCCAGGAAATTCGGGATTGAATCACAGAGGACTTTTGTCTTGTAGCATCTCCATGTGTAGTCAGTCAAATCTGGGGTTATTTCCAAGCAAAGAGAGGGCCCTTTATTCTGGCTTGCACAGAGCAACAAGTACACTTAATGCATTTTAACTCACTCTGGGGTACTCTAGCCCTTCAAAACCAATCCTCTGGGTTTCTACTCCAAAGTAACACCCCCAAAAAATTCTAAATTAGTTTGGCTTGACTTCACCTTAGAAGCAGTTTGGGGTTGGAGCTGGGAACCAAGGATTTCAGCTGAAGTGGTAGAAGAGCGAAAAATTATATCCAGAGAAATATCCAAACATGAGTGAATTATCCAGGCCACAGAAAATTTTAAAATGTAGGAACAGACCTCCCAACAGCTGTCTGGCTAAGTAGACCCCTTGAGAAGTGCACTTACTATTTGAAGCATATGGGTCAGATGTTGTTTTGATTATAACACATGGTTCTTATTAAACCAAATACAGCCATTCTTGTGAGTCTAAACCAAGGGGCCTTAGGTGGCTGGTGCGTAGGGATCTGTCTTAAAGAGAATGTTAAAACAAATGACACAAGTTGCTTCCCACAGTGTGAAGTGATGAGATTTTTGCTGTCACCTGCTTTTCAGAACCCTCAGGCAAGATATCCCATGAATGACATTGTCAAGGCTCTCTCTGTGTGCAGCCTACACAAGAGCCACTCTGTGAATTAGTCACCTTGGTATTCTGACACACTTGGGATAGCTCTTGTCTCAGCTGCAGTAGTGCATATCCTTCCACTCTCCACTCAGTTATGGAGGCCTCACAAATACGTGCCTATGAATAAAACACTGCTTTTCACCTTGTAAATTCAGATAAAAACATCCCACCATGTGGTTTCCCCTCACTTGTCAGTCTCAGCCCTGGCTGGCATCTGTGGCTGGTTTCAAGCAACTACGCAGGAGTGTGCTGTGTGGCAGCACCCAGTTCTGACAGCCAGCCCTGCCATAAACTGTCAGCTGGTCCTTTATTTTATTACCAAACAAAAACACTTTTTTGAATAGGAACCAGAACTAGGCCAAATGATATGACAGAGACAGAGACTTGAGAGTCAAGTGCCCCATGCAGCTACAGTCAGCTTTGGACACAAATGGAAAGTAAGTAACAAGGAGAACCGAGAGGATTGAGACAGCAGTGTTCTGTGGCTGTCCTCTTTTTAAGAAATCTATGAAACAATATTCATCTACAGTCTGTAAGAATCATAGACTTGAACTGTATGATCCATATATGCCTTAACCATCCAAGGCCACAGTACTCCCTTGGAGGCAGTCAGACCTATGGAAAGGCTCTCTGGGCTTGCTTGGCAGCCAAGGTGGCTAGCAATGTTGACATGGACCTCTCTGAGAGGCCCTGGACTCCATGTTAAAGATGAAGAAACTCAACAGTTCAGTCAGTTGTGCCAAAACCACACACACACACACACACACAAAAGCAGGGGTGAGATTTGAACCCAACCACCTCTTCACCATTTGAAAATTGTTAGAATTATTCTAGACCCTAAATGTGTGTCAGTCCCTTGGCCTAAGCCATCCAGGCAGTGCACTGTTCTTACCACAGAGGTGTGCCTTGCTATCAGTAGTAAGGTCCACAGTTCATTGCACCTATCTGTGGGAATTAATTTTGAAAATTCAATGAGCTGAGTCAAGGGACGAAATGGAAGTCCACAAATAAACGAAGGAACTGAAGACGTTCCTGTTAGGCTTGGTGTCTGTTCTGCTTCTATACAGGTCACACACCACCTGCCCTTGAGCAGTTGGACAGGTTCCTCAACCTGCCCACATACCAAGTTAATTAATGTAAGTCGCAACTTTAGCTGCTAATTTCTGAGTAACTGTGGCTTAGCCTCCTATCCCAACCGTAGATTTGTGTGGCTCCCCTAACTATATATAAGGAATATGTAATTTTTAAAGAGTGTTCTCATTTAGAAAAAAAGCCAAACACAGGAGGCTCATCCAAAATAAAAACAAGGCAAAGCCAAGGTCCCTGTCCTTAGACAAATGTTACCGACCGATCCACACTGGCATCGCGATGACATTGAATAGCCTTGAGTGGCCAGTGTTAGAGGGAAAGAGCTCTCCAGAAGAAAGCTCCCATTAAAGTTAGCATTTTAATAACACTTTTCACAGGTGGAAAGCCTCACAGAGACCAAGAGTAAAGCTTTTGGGCCAGAACCTCCCCACCGGGATGCCAAGGGCATTACTGAGTTCCTGCAACTGTGACAAGGGGGCCCAGTTTCCACCCTCACCCCTGGGACACTGACTTCCATACCCACATCTACTACCCAACACAGCCCTTCCTGGCAGCTGTGAGCAACAGAGGCAAGGAAGAGGAATTGAACACAGTAGCCACCATCCAAGTGGCTGGGGAATATTAACAGACATGACCTGCAGATAACATATGAGCTGAGAAGAGTCTTCTGTCCTATTTACCAACCTCCCTCCCAGTCACCACAGGATCTCCTTCTGAGAGTATCCTCCACAAATCCCTCTGCAGGGTGAACTCTTTCCATCTAAAAGTCTTCTTGTAAAAAAAAAAAATGGCTGGTGACCCTGAAGCTACTGTTTTTCTCCAAAAACACAGAAAAAGGCTTTTCCTTCTTACCACAACGGCCCCCTCTGCTCTCCCTCCTAGGGCATAGGCTGGCAAGCTGCTGCTCCTGCTCCTACAAATAAAGTTTTATTAGAACACAGTCACACCCAGCAAAGTGGAACAGATTCTCCGACAGAGACCCTATGGCCCATGAGCCTAAACTACTTACAGCTGACCTTTTATAGATACTGGATCTAGAACAAAATTTCCTCAAGTGACTGTGGTGAATTGCCTGTGTATCTTATTCTCTCTGCCAAGTCAATGCTGATGTCTTTTGTAAATTTTAGTACAAATGAATTGTCAGACATATGAATTTTAAGAAATAAATGGAAAGTATGAGAATAAATGTTTTTAGTATTAAATGTGGCCAGCACATAATTGGCTTCTAGTTTTTAAAAAGTAGAATGAGTATTAGAAAGTATAGAATGTTTTTTTTAATTTTTTTATTTAAATTAGAAACAAGATTGTTTTACATATCAATTTCCGTTCCCTCTCCCTCCCCTCCTCCCCTGCCCCCCACTAACACCCTACCTATCCAATACCAATTCTGCTCCCCAGGGAGAGTGAGGCCTTCCATGGGGGTCTTCAGAATCTGTCATATCCTTTGGGATAGGGCCCAAGCCCTCCCCCATGT